TTCCTGTGACCTTAAGGCTCTAAATGTTTAAATTTCTTCATAGTTGAGTTAGCATTAAGATTATTAGTACACAATTCAGAAAAACATAAAATATACATTTTCATAAATAATTTTTAAGCAGAGCAAGTAAAATTATTTTGGAAATTCTATTAATTTGATGGATAGGATGTTTTTATCTTTCATTAGTTCATATATTCACAAATGAATATTCCTTATTGCTAGAATAAGATAGACTTCAGCATCAATTTTATTCATATTTGTTGCTTTACATACAACATTCATTGAGAAAACTGTTTATACAAATAAGTAGATGGGAATGGAAGGTGTTTATATCAGTGTCACTCAAATCTTTGAATTCCTTCTGAATTATAAGCTAAAAATCATACAGTGATTTAATAAATTTAAACTGACAATTTGAGTAGGTCTTCCTTCAATTTTGTTGGAAGCAAAAATTTGGAAACCACTTGACCTGTAAAAGAGTTACAATGAAGTCACTGACAGTCAGTCACTCTTTTCAACCCCAACACCAACTTTTTGAATTGTGGTTAGTTTAGTGCCCCAAAGGTTTTTACCTACCCTCAAGGCAAGTCACTGAAGTAAGATGTCAAATGGTTGAAATGTATTCCTTTCTTTTAACAAGTGGGAGAAGAGTAATTATGAAAGGAGAGGTGGGAAAGGGGGCAAGGGGCATTCACAGACAGATCCATTTTAGTAAAGAGTACTTGTGGAAATTGAGGATCCCGGGAAAGATTCCCTAAAAGCTATCCTTGCTTCCACATCTTGTAAAATCTTTGTTAAAGTTCATATATTCCAGTTTGAAGAACATTGTGCTAAGTATCTGGACACATTGAGAAAATGCATTACTTTCATAAAGACCTCAATAATAATACTGAGAGAATAAAAACAAACAACAAAAAACAGTTGCCAGTTAGTCTGCTGAGAATCATGGGGACCCCATGCATGTCAGAGTAGAACTGTGCTCCAGAGGGTTTTTGATGGCTGGTTTTTCAGAAGTAGATCACCAGGCCTTTCTTCCGAGGTGCCTCAGGGTGAACTTGAACTTCCAACCTTTTGGTCAGCAGCCAAGTGAGTTAACTTGTTGCACTACCCAGGGACTCCTAAGAGAATTCAAGAGTTGAAATTTATCTCAATCTTCTCAACTGCCTTGGTTCACTCCAATATAGATAAAGCCTAGCTTGGGACAGCATAGCAGGGGTTAAGGTGGAGGACAAAATGGTCCTAACAAACAGCACAGTCAGATGCGGATGATTTTTAAGAGCCTGTAAATTTTGCTATTGTGATTTTGCCAGCACTTCTGTCCTCATTTTAGTTAGTGAGACTCTTATAATCCCCTCAAAGGTTGAATTGGCTCTGGGTCAGAGAGGATCATAAAGACCTCATGTTTTCTTCCCCCAAGGAATTCTGTAATTTTGTCATTACAACCAAAGCTGAGAGAGGCGAGGATAGAAAAGCTTCTCAATTTTTGCTTTAATATGAAAATAATTACGTACATCTACTCTTGGAGACCTGGCTTAATTAGACCTATCTGATTTTTCACTGGTAAAACTAACACTAAAATGTATTTCTCTGAGTTCTCTAATTATAGAGCAATCACGCTTTTTCTTAACAGATACTAAAATCAAATGCTATAATGTTGGATGAGGTCATTGTGAATAGCTTGTTATAAGACCTGTTTTGAGGTACCACATGAATTTCAGTGAATATTATGCAGTGACAGAAAGCAACAAAGTTTATTGCAGAAAAAATTATGAGTTGCTACTATAATTTACCTAAACAGTGATAAGCGGTTCTACAAGTTATTTCAGAAGAAGCATATTTACTGACCATAACCTCCTGTTCTTTCACTCCCACACGCCTCAGTCTCAGCCCCTTCCTGGTTTCGCCTCTCTTGGCCACCGTTTGTTGGCCTTTATTTTCTTCCTTGGTAGCCTGAACTCTGTGATGCCTTTTGACAGATACTGTTACCCAGCACCCTCAACCCCTTTACTCCCTTGAACTTCTGCTTATCCATTCTGCCAAGTACCAACTCAGAGTCAAAACAACTGTGTTCTCTCTACTATTGCTTCTAGTTTGCCAAGCGCTGCTAGAGAAAATTATATAACTGCTGATTCATGCCATGACAATTCTGCAATTACCAAGCTCACCTTGACCCTTAGCATACTTGGCAAATCTTTCATTCTTAGTTGGCTTCCTTTTCCACTGCTCACAGTGCTAATCCAAATCTCAAGTCATCACTCTCCTGAGGTTTCCTACCACACCTGCTCAATCAGAAGATGACCTAACTTTCTACTTTAGGAAAAATTAGTGGTCATCTTGACTCCCTTCCACTTCTAACATCATCTATAGTTTCACTCTCTTTTGCTTCTGCCTCAGAGGATGACGTAGTGTACCAATTGTCCCCTCAATGCTGCTTTTCACTTTTTAAGCCCTTCACTATAAAGTCTGTGTACATTATTACAAGGTAAATATTCCCCTTGGATGTCATATTGCAAGTTGAAGAGATAGGCATTAGAATGTTTGGAAATAAAAGTTGCTGATTGGCTGTAGAAAAGAGGACATCAGAATAGCAAGTGTTCTTCCACTTTCAATTATTCTCAAGCAAGGACAGAAAGGAAGGTGAGTTGGGATGCTGCCTGCCCATCAAATGTTTTAAAATTCTAGTACAGTTCTACCAACCAAATGTCACAACATGAAATTTAAAGAGGCTATGCTTTAGTGATCGATGCCATTTTTGTCCTCTACTATTTGCTATCACCTGCTACATCTACAGTCTAAGATGCTACTAATAATAATTAAAGAATGTCTGCCCACTCAATTCCTTCTTTTCACTCTGAGGAGTTTGCTCACACTCATACCATCCACACTTTTCATGGGAACTCTTAGGGCAGCCAATGTGAATTGCATGATGCTTCTCCTGATATGGCTATTCTAATTTAACGTCATATTACACTAGATACGAACCAAAAGTAACACATGTATGCTTTAGAAAAATTATTTTTAGAGACTGCCTAAAGAGAAGTCTTGATGTACAGGATACTTATAGGAGACATGCAGCCTATCTAATCAAGGACAGATGCAGTTTTGTGGGATCTTGAAGTGTATATAATTTGGAGGGGTCCTCTTTCCAAAAACATATAAAAGTATGAATACAAAATGAGGTACAAGGTGTTTAGAAGATGTCCATGGATTCAGTTATGTCCCCCCAAAATGTGTGTCAACTTGGCTAGTCCATGATCCCCAGTATTGTGTGATTGTCCACAATTTTGTCATCTGATAGTGATTTTCCTATGTATTGTAAATCCTACCTCTATGATGTTAATGAGATGGATTAGTGGCAGTTATGTTAATGAGGTAGGACTCAATCTACAAGATTAGATTGTGTTTTAAACCAATCTCTTTTGAGATATAAAAGAGAGAAGCAAGCGGAGACATGGTGGCCTCATACCACAAAGAAACAAGAGCCAGGAGAATAACGCGTCTTTTGGACCTAGAGTCCTTGTGCTAAGAAGCTCCTTGACCAGGGAACAAATGATGACAAGGACTTTCCTCCAGAGCCAACAGAGAGAGAAAGCCTACCCCTGGAGCTGGCACACTGAATTCAGACTTCTAGCCTTCTAGACTGTGAGAGAATAAATTTCTCCTTGTTAAAGCTGTCCACTTGTGTTATTTCTGTTACAGCAGCACTAGATGACTGAGACAGAAGAAGTCTGTGAAAATGAAGGGCTCTGAAGCTTAGGCTTCGTCAGTCACATAATTCAGCTTTTTTGTATCTGACTGCTTACATAAGGCATCAAATTCCTAACCAACCAACCAAAAACCCATGAAAATCTGAACACGTAACATCCGCCACTTTACGTAATATTACACTTGATGCTCACAGCAAATCTGTTGAGTCAGTATTATCACTCCCATTTTATAAAAGTGGAAACTAAGGCTCAGATAATTTACTAACTCTCTATGAGTCGTAATCAACTCGACAGCAATGGGTGGTTTTTTTGGTTACGCTCACAGTCAGGCTGCTGGTAGGTAGTGAAGATGAGATTCAAACCAAGGTCTGATAAACTAAATTTTGTGTTATTTCTACTGCAATTCTACCTTTAAGGCTTTCCAGAAGATAAAGGGTTTATTACTTTGGAGAATGCCCCTAGAAATGCATGGATATGCTCACTTAATACTTGAAATTGACATGACTTAATTCACATGTAAGACATTCACTAAAAGTACTACCCTAAAACTGTGTTTAAAGGGCATAAAAAAACAAATGCATAACTACTCTGGGTTATCTTCTGTTCATTAAGTGAAATAGATGAAGACAGGAGATCTTAGGGTCCAGGAGACATGGGGTTGGACCAAAGAGAGGAAATGGAAGCAGAATCAATATCTGGAGGTGAGCCTTCCAGGAAAGAGCCTGGCTGTGGAAGGACATGCAGTATGGATCTTTCAGAAATGATGTCCTCTCACTACATGTTCATTATTCTTCTGCCTTGTCATTATGATATGTCAAGTTTTAAAGACAGAAAAATAATGGAAATTGACTCATATATTATTCAATATTATATTCATACCCTGTATTTGCCAGTTTGACCTCTATTTTTTTTAAACATGTCTCTTAAAGGCACCTCTCCTTCTCCTAAGGCCCCCAGAAGGTAGGTACTGTGTCTGCCTTCTCCTCACAGAATCCAACACTGTGCCTATACATAGTAGGCACTTTATGGAGGTTTGTTGCTATGAAAGATGGTATCGATGAGTTAATTTTGACAGGCTACCATTAACACAATAGGGATTCCATAATGTAGATATGCTGTGATTTTTTTCCTATTCATTCAACGACTTCAGAACAAAAGCTTTTGGCATTTGGTTAAAGCTAAGGCAAGAACCGACCAGATATGGTTAGTAGTATTTTCAGTCAATAATAAGCTGCCAGTGATGTTGGAGCTACTTAAAAGACCTGTTGATTTTGTGCTCTTAGGGCTATTGTGACCTCAGGCTGTAGCTAAAATCAGTCCAATGCATCAGGGGTTTCAAGAACAGAAGCACAAAAATGATGACTTAACTGCACAGGAAAAGAAGGCACATGTATTTTAAGAAGACCTCTTTATTCTTAAAGTAGAAGTTCCCCCTTCAAGATGATGAATGGTACAAACTCTTCAGGATCATGCCTGCACTCAAAAACTAGGTGAGTCATTGATAGGAGATGTCAGATGGTAACTACCCAGAAGGGAGAAGAGGGTCTCCATTTATTAACCCAGGCTAAGGCTAGCATTAATGGTGTCTCTTCCCACAGAAGTTCTCAAGTAGATGACAGCTACTTAAAGGAATTGAATGAAGACTTAAAGCTAAGAAAGCAGGAACTGCTAGAGATGCTAAAACCCTTAGAAGATAAGAACAACCTCTTGTTTCAGAAGTTAATGTCTAACTTGGAGGAAAAACAAAGAAGGTAAGGACTACTTACCCCAGGATTTCACAGAAGTTGAAAGATTAGAGAACCTCTGTCTCCATAGGATTAGCAATGATTATTTACATTTGTTTGGAGAAAAAAAAGACTTGGGAATTTAGCTGTAGTAGATAATAAATTTGTAACCAAAAAATCAAGTTGGCAAGGAATCCTTTATTTTCTTTTAGTAAAAAGATTGCGAGCCCTTATCCTAAGAGGTTACAGTTAAACTCTTCCTCCCTAGGGTACCCACCCAGCAAAAAGAGAAAGGGTCTTTAATCTTCAGTCTTTCATAGTCACCCTGATAGCTTCCTTGCTCATGTCTGCAGAATCTCTTAAGCATAGATGATTTTGCTCTCTACATGCCAAGCAGTGCCATGGCAATCTTTTCTGAGCCTAGCAGCCCTCTGGATTAGAGTCTGGCCTCCCTAAATATACTAGACAGCTAAGGTCTTGACTCTTCACTAGGGCAGTCACTGTTCTTGGGACCTACCAACTCTCTGTTTCCTTAGTAATCTCAGGGAATATCCCCTCAACGGGTCTACCTCTGCACTCTACTCTTATCATAAGCGTCCCAAGGAACTCAGACCTTCAAAGAAGAAAAGCCAGGCAGGAGGTTGTGGTTAAGCATAGTTGCTTATAACCCAGCAACACAGACTTCTCTCACGGCAAGAGAGCACAAAGACTTGGTTCTCTACTTAGAGCTAATAAAAAGTAAAAGGAAGAAAAAGTACAAGGAACAAAAACAGAAATAAATTAATCTTAAAAAGTATCTTCTCTCACAGTCAGATTTGGGTACTGATTCAGATTTTGTTAGAAACTTCTTAATGCCTTGGGTTTTCTGGGGACTACCATAAGGGTATAAGTGGCCTCACCAGCAGGCTGTCTTTATGGAGAAGCGAGGGGGATAAGGACAGGCAGATGGAGATGGGAATAGGGAATAACTCTGGGATTTAGCTTGAAGACAGCAGGTTCTTTTACCTTTTTTGTCCCCACAGGGGAAGAACCACTCCTTTTTTCTCAAAAAGTCACACACCAAAATATTCTCTCTTCTGAGGGGTCAAAGAGGAGATCTGGATGTTGAAGACCTAATTTTTGAACATTATAGAGCACAAAAGTTTTTATAGAGCACATAGCTAAAACAAATGTCAATTAGGAATGGAATCATCCTAGTTATACAGAACTTCTATAACTCCTGGAATTTCAGCCCCCATCTAACTCCCATGGCAGAGTACTTTCTGACCAGTTGCAGAATATCAATTTTAACCTTTAGGAAGTACATATGTTTTATGATGTCTCTCTTCATTCTAGTCTGCAGATCATGAGGCAAATCATGGCAGGAAAGGGTGCTGATGAATCCTCAGTAGTGGAGCTCATCAAGGAAGCAGAAGAGATGAAGCAGAACCTAGTAAGTTGTCGGTGAGCACTCCAGGGAATAGCATACTGAACACGGCTCAATTGCATTGCTGTTGTCAGATGTAGAAGGCAAGACAGAATGCCCATCTCTAGCATCTAATGCTCTAACACGCCTATCTCCTTAATCTAAAAACCTCAGGGTTATCCAAAAGGAGTCAGATAGAATATTTGGAAGAACAAGGACTAGCTAGAAAAATTTCTTTCTTTGCCTTTTTTTAACCTTTTCATCTGGGGGTTAATGAATACGAGAATATTAACTCTTCACATTTCAGAAAGTGTAGAAAATATCTGTTAAAAACAAGAGAAATAGATCAGCCAACAGGAGGTACAAGAAAGCAGCTTCACGGGGCTTCCAGCAAGAGACAGAACAACCGGTAACCCACGATATAGGCTTTCTCACCCCCCCACCCTCACCCCCATTTAGCCTCCTCTGCTTCCTGCCGCCACAGTCTATTGGCTTGGAAGCACGAGCTTCCCCCCAGTGCCGCTTGGACTCCACCCGCCCGCACTAGCCAGCTCCAAGTGCCATTTGTTGGCTGCTGGTGTTGCTTTTTCCCACTTCTTTAGATTTCTTCCTCACCTCTCACCACCTCCCCCTCCTTTCTCTCAAATACCTGGCTCTGTGTGCCATCTTTGCTTCTTCCTGAAAGGCTGCGAAACACCACTCAACTGTGAAACTGCTTCCCGGCCCGTGCCGCCACGGTGGTGGGACCCCTGGGGCTTTTTTTGTTTGTTTGTTTGCTCTGATTTGTTCTGTTTTGATTTGCTTGTTTGTTTTCTTTTTCATTTCTCGGCTTTGGAGCCCCTTCTAGCCAGGCAGTACCGTGTGGCTTGGAAATTAGTCCCTTACTCTGCGCAGATGCACGGGACATCCCTGGGGTCATTTCTTTTTCCTTGTTTTTGGGTTTTGTTTTTTTTTTTTATTTCCTTGTTTAGTTTTCTTCTCTCTCGTATTCCCTTTTTGTCTTTCTTCATTTCCAGTTTCTCGATTTATTGATTTTTTTCTTTTACCCTTTTTCTCTTTTTTTTTCATTTTTGTTTTTCTCCATTTCTCAGTCTCTCATCTCTCTACTCCAATAGCAAGCTCCCTTAGCACTCTTTTTTGTTTGTGTGTATGTCTTTGGCTCCTGTTCCTCTCTCCTCCCTCTCATC